GAAAGTATTTCATCCAGCTCAAAGGAATATAACCAAGCGCAAAATAACCAGACAAGCAAAATGAAATCCTCCAAATTGTTTTAATATGTGGATTGGAATGCTGCAGCTTCATATCAGTTACTTGTTAGCAAGTTACTTGCTGCCAAAATCAGAACATGCAATTTTTTTAAGATTGAATTGTTGTTGTTCATTTTGTTAAGAATTAGAGCGATTACAGGCATGTTTGTAGCTAAAGCATAAAATTGTTATTGCCGGCAACATAATAGAAACTATAAACCAAATGATAAATGTTTTGCTTAGGGCTGCTTGTCAAAATAATGTCCCATTTTGATTTCACGGTTGTATTATTTTCATCAAAGTGATAAACTACAATTTGACTGTTCGATGGATCAGCTGATTGAACTTCCCACACGATAAAATGTAGATCAAAGCTAGAGTTAATGGAGCAGGAGCATAGTGTTGGCTGTATTCATTATGAAGCTATACACATGAACTAGTAATATGACGACCGATATTATTATCACAATTGGATAAATAAAGGAATATAATTCATGTATAAAATACTACAATAATCATATACAGGGTGAGTTTTAAATGAGTTCCCCCCCTACTTTTTTCTACATTTCTTAAGATATAAACTCCGGACCACGTCAGATCATTGTAAAGTAGTAAGTACCTCATTTTGACTGGGTATACATTTTTGGCCGCCATCTTGGATCCGTCATATTGGATACAAAGATTTTTTTTCAAATGTAAAGGTAGGGTTATGACCCATTATTCCAAACTAGAGTTTTACGCTGATTACAATGCCGCAAATAGTTTTTAAAAATCTTGATCCGTTATAAAGTTATAAGGACTTTTTATAACTTTATTTTTAGCCCATTTTAACATTGTGCATTTACAAACTAAGACCATAATCTCAAAATAGTGCTAGATAAAGATAAGTATACACCACCATTCATTGTCACCTATTTTCACTTGGTTATAACGGATGTATTTTTTTCAGCCGCCATATTGGATCCGCCATTTTGAAATGTGACAAATTAATTTGAATATGAAGGTGGTATTGTGACCCATCGTTTTCAACTACTTTTTTCTGCTAAACTCAATGCCGCAATCCGTTTTTGGTTATGTAGCTTTATTGATGAAATATTAAAATGATCTTATTTAAAATTTCAATTATTCAAAAACCAAACATGCAAATGAAAAACTGATTGCGGCATTGAGTTCGGCAGAAAAAAGTAGTTCAAAATGATGGGTTGACACCACCTGATGACAACACCACCTTCATATTCAAATTAATTTGTCACATTTCAAAATGGCGGATCCAAGATGGCGGCCGAAAAAAATACATCCGTCATAAAAAAGTGAAAATAGGTCGACAATGAATGGTGGTGTATACTTATCTTTATCTAGCACTATTTTGAGATTATGGTCTTAGTATGTAAATGCACAATGTTAAAATGGGCTAAAAATAAAGTTATAAAAAGTCCTTATAACTTTATAACGGATCAAGATTTTTAAAAACTATTTGCGGCAATGTAATCAGCGTAAAATGCTTGTTTGGAATAATGGGTCACAACCCTACCTTTACATTTGAAAGAAAATCTTTGTATCCAATATGGCGGATCCAAGATGGCGGCCAAAAATTTGTACCCAGTCAAAATGGAGTACTTACTACTTTACAATGATCTGACGTGGTCCAGAGTTGATATCTTAAGAAATGTAGAAAAAAAATTGGGGGGGAACTCATTTAAAAATCACCCTGTATATACTCTAGTTCAAAGTGCAGAATTAATTAAATTCGTCAAAACATGTTATAATCATAATAAAGATAGAAAACAAACTGTTGGATTTGTTACTTACTTTATTTTGCACATAAAAAATGGTATTTATTGCATATAAAGACAAAATAACATCTGTATGCGGAGAAAAAGAGGAAAATCCAGATATATGTGGGAGGTCCCAGATGTGAGACCGGACAGTAAACCGTGGATATCACAATGTTATGACCAAGCTTGTGTGACGTAATATACACGACCATGCTGAGTTATGTTGATTATTTAAACAACTACTTCTGCATGTGTTTGATGTGGGAGGTCCCAGATGTGAGACCGGACAGTAAACTGTGGATATCACAATGTTATGACCAAGCTTGTGTGACGTAATATACAGGACTAGGCTGAGTTATGTTGATGATTTAAACAACTACTTCTGCATGTGTTTGATGTTGGAGGTCCCAGATGTGAGACCGGACAGTAAACTGTGGATATCACAATGTTATGACCAAGCTTGTGTGACGTAATATACACGACCAGGCTGAGTTATGTTGATTATTTAAACAACTACTTCTGCATGTGTTTGATGTGGGAGGTCCCAGGTGTGAGACCGGACAGTAAACTGTGGATATCACAGTGTTATGACCAAGCTTGTGTGACGTAATATACACGACCAGGCTGAGTTATGTTGATTATTTAAACAACTACTTCTGTATGTGTTTGATGTTGGAGGTCCCAGGTGTGAGACCGGACAGTAAACTGTGGATATGACAATGTTATGAACAAGCTTGTGTGACGTAATATACACGACATGCTGAGTTATGTTGATTATTTAAACTACTAATTATGTGTAGAAAATAAAGATTAAATACTAGTCAAACTATTTTAGTCAAAGGTTTCCGTTTTTAAACTATTTTTGGCGGACGTAATGGGCTTTTTTAAGTGATGCTGGGCCAACCAAATGTTTAAGTATTCCCTCAAAGGACTTTCAAATAATCAGAATTGAAACTGACAATAATTGGTTGCGAACATTCAAATGCAAAGCTTAAATCATCTTCAAAGGACTTTTAAATCCAGGTTATTCATGTTTGCGAAGCTGATTGAAAGTCAAACGCCGATGTGAAATGACTTGTATTAGCAAGTCCCTTCACAATTAGGTTAAAAAACTTAAACATTTGAATAATATATATTCTATTATTCGAATCTATGATTAACGTATTGTGGGAATAGTCAAATATACTATATTTTTATTCAAATGTTTACTTACATAAGAAACCATACCTACGAAATGGTTGTCGTCCTTTTCGAAATAATGCTTTACAACTAAAGAATTACAATCTAATTTTCTAGCTGTATGCATACAAGCTGTGAGATGTAAATGTAAGTTTAACCGGATATAAATTAAAGAAGAGTGACGAATAAATGCTTTTTCCTACAGTTACCTAACAATGTAGATGTTCCCTCACTGATTTAAGAAAGCTAAGTGGCCAAATCGCTCATCAGTGAGACAATATTACATTGCCTCACTCTAATTACTTTGTCTCGCTCCAGATTTGTAACGTGAACGCACGAAATAGTGAGCGCGTAACATGCAGACAAGGTCGTATGCGCGCGAAATACGTTGGCAGCACTGGCTGTAAATCAGCTGGTTAGCTGTTTTACTGTTGTATCATTAAATGTCATATTAAAAGTTCACTTCTGTGTAAATTTACGTTTCTTTGCCAATTTATTTGTTTTTCTCTCGAGTGAGTCAATTGCTCACTTAACTCACTATAGTTTGTCCAATTTCGCGTGCGCCCTGGAGGATTAGAGCGACCCTTACTCACACACACACACACTCGCACGTCCCGGCCAGTCCCGGCCTACCTGCCGCTAGTGGGTTTTCTATGAATCACCAACTAGCCCTTGTGCTACAAAATCATATTTTTAAAATTGATAATTTTACTCATTTGTTACTCTAATTAATGAAATCTAGAAATTTTTTCTTGCAAAATGAGTCCAAACACGGTACAATTATGACAACTCTAAGTGGTTTTAGGGCTAGTAGGTTGTAAAATAATAATTTAGACTATTTATAAATGGTTGTAGAGAATTTATTTAACGCAAAATAAAGAAAAAAAAAAATACAATTAAACCAAATATTAACAGATTTACATAACAACGTTAAATAGCGTACATATTTACAACAAAATTCTAGAGCAATATAAATACCAAGGGAATAATATCATAAACGTATCTACCATCCAGTTAAAAGCAAGAGATTGCATTTTTATACAATTTACATTCATAAGCCGATACGGAAGAAAATTTAAAATTAAACTAGATTACAGATCACGCAAACTGAAGTTAAAATATAGAAATAACATGATTAAACTTACAGGAGAATATTTACATAGCAATATTATATACATATATATACATTTAGCAACCATATAGGTTCCTCCGAAATGTTGTCAAAAAATAAATAAACGTGTGTCAAAATATAAATAAACAAAATCTTAGACAATGTAATTTAAACACCAAGAAAAAAAAACTATCAAAAACGTATGTACACAGCCATCTAGATAAAAGCAAGAAAATATATTATTTTGTAAATTGTTTGACTATTTTTAGACAAATTAACTTACTAAGGCGATACGGAAGTTAATTTAGGATTAAACTAGATTACAGATCACGCAAACTGAAGTAAAAAATATTAATAACATTATTAAACTTACAGGAGCATATTTACATAGCAACATTATATTGATATATACATTTAGCAATCATATACGTTCCTACAAAATGTAACGTATACCAAAATATAAATAAACAAAATCCTAGACACTGGAATTTAAACACCTAGGAAATAATCAGCATACGTATCTACATAGCCATCCAAGCTTGTTGGATTACATTTTTAGACAAATTAAGCCAATACGGAAATGTTAATTTAAGACAAACTAGATTACGGATCGCACAAACTGAAGTCAAAATATATAAATAACCTGATTAAACTAACAGGAGCATATTTACATAGCAATTTTATATACATATTTACATTTAGTGTACATTTTGGTCCATCTATGTCAAAAAATGTATAAACAAAATCCTAGACGATGCAATATAGAAACCATACGGAGTTACACATCAACCTAATGTAGAGCAAAAGAATACATTTTGCCTATGGAAATACGGAAGCTAAATTTGCTAATTTAAAATAAAGTAAGGAAGCCCACTTACTTATTCTAAAATTGCACATCCAAAGTCTTCGTCTTCGGCGTTACTGTCACTGTCACTTTCTGAGTCGGTATCTCCAGGACACAAGTTGATGACAAATTCACGAACACTCAAGTCGTTGAGTCCTTCACTTCTCCAATCCTCTTCCATCAAATTCTTCACGTGTTTAACGTACTTTCCCCACAGTTCAGGTGTCACAGCAGATACGGCTTCGGAAAATAGCACTTTTAAATCACTCAATTTAAATGTTTGGTTTCTATCCTTCACATATTTTTTTATATACCCCCATACCATTTCAATAGCATTGTACTGGCAATGGTACGGAGGAAGGCGGATTACTTTGAATCCCAGCTCTGCTGCTTTTGAGTCAATCACGTAGGTCGGGTGCGGGGGTTTGTGCAGCTTCACGACATTGTACAGCTCAGGCTTCTTCAGGTCTTGTGGGAAACACACTCCTCTATCATTCAGCCAGTTGGTCATCTCTGCTTTGGTAGAACTCGATGTGGGAGCCTTATTTTCCACCCTGGAATGATATGGTGCATTGTCCATAATGATAGTGCTGCTGGGAGGTAACACGGGGATTAATGTGTTGAAAAACCAATGTTCAAACACCTTAGAGTCCATTTCCTCGTGGTAGTCTCCGGTCTTGCATGACTGAAAAACGAGCGGCGGTGCTTTAATCCAGCCATCTTGAGTCCCCGCGTGACAAACTATTAAGCGTCTTCCTTTCCCAAGGGGAGCACTCAATGTTCCTCTGACACTTCCATCTGTCCATCCTTTTTCATGGCATGTGTTTTCGTTTAGCCAGGTTTCATCCAGGAACACCGTGTTTTTTAAGTCTATGTCGCGTGTTTTCCGAAGGAACTGGCATCTTTTGAGCGCTATCGCAGGTTTTTCCATTAACACCTTCCTACTGTTGAACTTTTTGTAGGCAAATCCTAAACTCTTTAAAACTGTGGCTAAGGATGACTTACAGCCATTAAAAAGTCCAGCATCTTGGAGGGATCCCTGCAGTCTTCTCAAGGTCGGCACTTCTTTCCTTTCATAGAAAGTCATGATGTGGCGACGAATGGCTGATTTCTGAAAATCATCAACTTCAGTTACTGGTCGGTTCCTAGGTGTACGTGGCTTTTTCTTGCGCGGCGTGGTGATCAAAATGCGCCTTTTCTTCGAGCTAGTAACATTTGCCCCATCTTGTGTAGGTTGCTCTGCCTCTTCAACGTCGGCGTGCTCTTCACTCGTTTGTTCTGTCTCATTTGACACGATTTCTTCCTTAAGTTGAATGTTAATTCGCTTAACTGTTCCGTATGGAACATTGCATGCATCCGACACTCTTTCCAAAACCTTTTTTACATCTTTCAAAGGACCCATATTATTTTTTTCTAAATAAAAGTACTGGATCACTGAAGCTACTATTGTTCTTGCTTGAGAATGTAAAATTTGTTGTGATTTACCTGTCGACATTACTACCAAATGAAAACACTCACGCGAGGAACACTGCACTTAGACTACACAAACACAGTCTGCATAAAAACAGAAAGCACTACTTCTCCCGATATACTGTAGCTAGCAACAGACCACCACAAAGTTTAACTCGACACTGACGTGTTTATCTGAACAAATATGTAGATTTCACATCCCTTAAAAGTGAGTCAAATTCCAGATTTCGCTTCCGCTAAGTGTGACTCACAGGTCCATGACGAATGCCGGGGTTTCAACCCTCTGCGTGTTTCCAATAATTACGAGTAAAGTTAAACTCGTTTGTTGTATAATAATTCTGTTTAATGTTTCACAGATTAATTTGTTCATTTTTCCTTACCTTTTAAATTAATATTTCTGCTTTGTTTGCATACTTAACTTATTACAAGTTATGGGACTAGGCCTACAGCTTATTTGCAAACAATGTAAGTTAATAATTAATTGTAAACTGTTTCCACGTTATTGATCTGACTACTGTTATTTAATTTAGGACCTTTGGCTATTAAATATAAAATACGTAATAAAAGCCCCGTTTTATTAATTTTCTAAATTTTTAAATAACTAAAACCACTTAGAGCTGTCAGAATTGTATCGTGTTTGGACTCATTTTGCAAGTAATAATATTCAGAGTTTAGTTATTTAAATACAAATTGGATGAAATTAAAAGATATAAAAATGTGATGTTGTAGCACTTGGGCTAGCAAGCGATTCATAGAAAACCCATTAGCGGCGGGTCGGCCGGACCGTGCGCGTGAGTGTGGCTGCGCGTGTGTGAGTAGGGTCGCTCTAATCCTCCAGGGCGCACGGGACATTGGACAAACTATAGTTGCACAAATAACTATTTCCTACCTAACAATGTACATTATGAGACAACGTTAACATTGTCTCATTCTAATTACTTTGTCTCACACCAGATTTGCAACGTGAAGGCACGAAAGTGGCCAATTCGCTCATCAGTGTACAATGTTAACATTGTCTCAATCCAGATTTGCAACGTGAAGGCACGTTTCTGAAAAAATTTATTTGTGTTATAGTAACTGTAGGAAAATATAACGTGCAACTCGAGTGCAAAGTGCAATCGAGTGAGGCAATTGCTCACTATTTGCACAAATAACTATAACTCTTATGTAATGCTTGTATGATCAGAGGTGCTTATTTCACACATTGATCTGAATTGAGGAAATATAAAAAACAATATTAGATATATATCCAACAAAGAAAGGGATAGTGAGTTGTCCGGTCAATAAAAAAATCACAATTGGCACTCTTACTACGGGAATGATACTGTGTGGGTAAAAATATTTTTACCTCTCTTCCTAAAAATACATAAAAAAATTTAGCCTTTTTAACTGAACTAACCATATTCCAGTTCTTGTGCGATGGACTTACCTATCATAACCTTTATGTCACTAGTTCAATATACCGACATATGCTCAATATCAGTATAACTTGATTCATGATTCAAACCTATTTTTGATTGCAGTAATAACAAATCAAGAAAAAATGGTTCTTGTAAAAATCATATCGAAGGAAATTTAAAATAAAGGGAAATTTGTCTATGACTAAATGCTATGGTTGATAATCCACTTATAATGAGTAAATAGGGAGCTGTACCGAGACAGGCTATCATGCAGGTTTGAACAAACAATCCAATTATTGCAACACTCTGGTCAATAGATTCTCGTTCTCTCTAGGGATCCCATGCTACATGCTACGTTGATATTTGAACTAAATTAATACTTATTTCAACAGCGATTAAAGTAATTATTTTCTTACTTGTCAATATTCAGTAGTAGCTGACCATGAGTAACTAACGTAAGTTTTCTTTTTTCAAAACAAGACTGTTTGTGTTCACTTCTTCCTAAATAGTATACTTAAAGCAGTTAAAATAAATGTTTCAATTGGTGTGATGATTGTCGTATCCTCGTCATTGTCTAATTATTAGGTTAGATCAGTGGGCTTCAAAATGGGTTCATAACTTATTTAATGGCGAAACAGTTAACATGTAGGTAATAAAATTACATATCCTTCCTATCCACGCACGTGTGCCAAAAAATCCCGGATATAACACGGTTATTCTACAGTAAAGCTACATCTGAGGACATAAGTAACAGGTTAAGATTCTAAAATATGTAATTTCTAAAGATATAAATTAACACGATCTTTATTACAATTTACATAAAGCAATATCGTCTCACTAGTGTTACTTTTTATCTGTCAAGTAATAGTTTTATATGACATATTATTTTTAATGGTAATTTAATCGCTTGAGATATTATTTAGTTATTATATTTAACCCAAAGGGCATGTATAATATAGAAATTACATTAATTACATTTCTTATGACCGTTTTTAAAACTAGCCTTTTTACTTTAGTTCTTAGAATTTAAAAGATTCGCTTTAAATGATTGTTTTTTTTTAATTTACGACACTAGTAACGGACCAATGATGTTCGAAAATTGAGAAAAAGATAGTGTTCATTTAAATAAAAATATAATTATAAAATTTATTTTGAATGATTCAAGCAGAATGATGATTTTATCGGATTAATTACACTATGGAAGTACTGCCTGAATTACACGGATTACTTTCAGGAGATGTTCCCAGTATTACCAACCCACCAAACGTTTAGCTAGAACAAAGGTTTTCTGCACGGCTGCTGATTGTCGACATTATGTCGTTTCGCTTCCATCGAGGTTGGTGGAACGCGATGTTACAAAGCATTGTAGCAATGAACGTGAAATCTTTTATAGGGTTTATATGCAAATTATAAATCTCTATTTAAAAGAATCATGTTGACCTTTTTATCACAATCTTCGAAAAAATCTTTGAACCCAAGCACGGCCCACCTATTAGAGCTTGGGAGTAAAACCTATAAATACTGTATTACGTCTTATAATTTCAAACACAGTTTTTAAAAGCCAATTTTACAATACATCTCTTGACATTATGGTCTTCAATTAAGAGAAAAATAAAATGAATGGAGGGCAACTCTTTCGGAAGTAATGATTACCCTAAAATGAAATCATCACTCGTGAATAAATTGTTAATAGCATACAAATAAAAATTTACCTACAATGTGTATAAAATAATAAAAGTACATAATACTTTAAATTAAATTAACAATTATTTTCAATGGTCATAGTACTTCTTCTTCTTCTTCTTCTAGTTCGCTTTTTAAAAGCTGGCTTGGTTTTAAATAACCACGTAGCCACACTACTTCCTGAGTACATTTTCCCGGGGTTTTTTAAAATGTCAAAAAGATGCTAGTTTGTGAATTTTTATTTTTATGTCTTGTTGGGCTAGTACTAAAAATTGTTGTTTACGTTCAATTCTATAAAATTGTTGACACCATCTAAGTCAGTTTGGATCCAAACGAAACCTAGTCTAAGAATTATCTGAACAATTTTATCGAATCAAACCTGTAAACCTCTATAAAGGAAATCTGTGTTTTGTATGACAAAATATTCACATATATATGGCCGAAATTGTTTTAGAAGATTTAAATTTTGTTATTGCGTAAAATATGTTTATTGTAAACAAACTTTTAGAAGTTTTGTGAACTTATGGAACGTAAGCCCTAAACCTCGGGGGAACTGGCCAAAGAAGCCTTTCTTGCGGAAATGGAATAAGTTTTACATTTCAAACCTAATATAGCTAGGCTTTTGAACCCAAAAACCTTATATAAAAACATGATGAAATTTACTGGCATTATCCACTTTACAATTATAAAAATAACACATTCAAATACTTTTTTGCAACTATGTACCTTTCCTTTTAACATTATTCAAATGGCAGCCAACGTTATGATACAGCAATATACTTCGAATCTCATAGTTAAACTGCCTATGAATAAAAATATACTCATTTTACAAACAAATACAGTGATTCAATAAAAGCCGACCATACTAAGTTTAACTGGCTCAACTGCGTTTCCCGTCTTAATTAGCAAACTTTGGCAATACCTATTTGACTAAAACTCAGTTGTTATTTTACTTGCAATCATTTAATTGTTTCTTTTTTCACTAAATATCTTAATTGCATGATAACTTGACTATGTGAAAACTGTTACTTCGTACTTCGTAATCTATAAATTAATTAGTTCCACCAAAATAATATTTCTGTTAAAAGTTACTGTGAATCGTTAGCCGATGAAAATTGTGATTTCATTTATAAATTTTAATGGTGTTTTTAGTTTGCGATTGCCAAAGCACATTTGAGTAATAATTATCGTATGTATAACTCATCACTGCTGGTTCACAATTGCAATATGTTGCACTATAATTACACAATATCTTTAGTAACAGGAAGGAATAATTTTTTGTAAATTTGATTCGTATTTTAAAGACGGAACAGGTAAAATTTTTACGTTAAAAATGTTAGCAGTTTCAGCATCATATTGTCATGCTGAACCACAGGAAATTAAGTAGCGACAGGAAATTTAAATTACAAAATATAAAGAAGCCGGTGGTAAATAAAATGAAGGGTGGCCTTTAAAAAAGGTTTCCCAATTTTACACATGGTTTAGTGAAAAGTCCCTTTTCCTGCTTTTAACTGTACGAGTATTTTTTTATAATTACTAAGCCATAATTTATAATTATATTCAACAAGAATAGATTATGTAAAAAAAGATTTAAAAACAACAAAAACATAAAACCTGAGAAATAACTAAAAAACCTGAGTTATAACTAACATAACATTTGTACTTAAAACCCCGACCAATATTACTTTGAATATTAAATCGAAAAAAATTGTGGTAATTACTGTAAAAAAGGTAGTGTAGGTAAATTAAAGTAAGTATCATTGACAACAAAACAACGAAAGGTGTTGATTTAAAAATATTAATCAGCTTTGTAATGGCAATAGAATAATCCAAATGATTTTGAAAACTA